ACAATTAAAAAGGCATAAAACTTAGGTTTATTAAGTTTAGCATTTTTGTTTAATTTAAACCTTGTACATAAAAATATTAACTAAAATGCATAAACATTAATTTTCTTAAACTTAAAACATTTTTCTTTTCTTTTCATTAAAACTTTTGTTCATATGACATTAACAAAAAGCACAAAAAGAATAAATTAATACATTAAGTTAACATCTTGCATCACATGTAAATAATCACATACACTTTCACAAATACTTTTGATACATTGCTTTTATTCTTGTACATTGCTACATTTTACATTGAGAATGAGATTCGATTTGGTTGTAAATATTATTTGGATAATACTATCCTGATATGACTCATCCCCATTTGTAAATATTTGTACCCCCATCCCTGAATACTTATTTGTAATAGCTTAGACTTTAAATTCCCGTAATTTATTGCTTTCTATATACTGTATAGTAATTAGGGTTTGTATGCGAAGATTCAAAATCAACCGCTAGATAACCTAATACAAGACAAATGCATGACAATCAATACACAAATCACACTTGCACCCCTAGGGTAATCCCGCTTGTTGCCTTCAAAAATGGGCCATGTTGCATGTCGATTCCTTTGGCAAAACAAAACAAATCAAATGATCATAGTCCCTCGATGACGCTTTCGAAGTTGCCTAAACAAAATGATCATAGTCCCTTCAAGCAAAAATTTCCAAAGACACTTGGCACCATTGCATTCATGGTCTAAACGATGACCCGCGCCCGTCCCGTTAACATCCTAACACAAGATCGTCCACCAAATACAATGGTGGAACAATACTGTTAAAAGGGTTAAAACATAGGAAAAATCTTTGAGTAAATTTAGGGGTAGACAACTCTTAGTTACTTGATCAAACTTGCAAAACACACTTGCCTACTTTCAAAACACACTTCACAACACAACTTTCAAAAACAACTTTCAAAACCTTGAAACATCTTTTCAAAAAGACAAACACCTTTTGTAAAACATTTGAGTAAAGAATTGTTACAAGGGTTGCCAAGACAAAGGCATCATTTTCAAAACATTTTCAAAACCACACACACAAAGCACAATTTCAAACAATTGAAAATCAAGGCAAGTGATCTAAAACAAGTAACTAAGAGCCCATGGATAACCATGGATGAAAAGGGTGCTAATACCTTCCCTTTTCATAATGTACCCCCCGAACCCACGAAACACCTCAAAGGTTTTTCCTGTGCTTTTTAACCTTTCCTTTAGGATAAAATAAAAAGTCGGTGGCGACTCTTGCTAAACCGAACAAGTGTGAATACAAACGCAAAACCTCAAGTCAGTTCTCCCACCGTATCACACTACCTCATAACACCAAATAATACTAAATAATACTAAATAATATTATTACCCCAAATAATTAAAATAACTCTAAATAATTAAAATAACTCCAAATAATTAAATATTGGTCCGAATAATATTTTATCGAACCGAACGGAATAAAAACCGGACCGAACAAAATAATTACCGGTCCCTCAAAATAAATATCGGACCGAATAAAATAATTACTGGTCCCTCAAAACAAATACCGGACCAAATAAAATAATTACCGGTCCCTCAAAATAAATACCGGACCGAATAAAATAATTATCGGTCCGAATAAAACGTCGCCGAATATATTAACAGATATACCGGTTAATTTAAATATTCTCATCGCAAAAATAAACGTCAAACGGTAACTCAAAAATATTAATATAATATAATATTAAATAAAACGGGGCGTTACACAAAGCTCAAGGAGTTGACATTGTGATTAAAGTTGGCTTTTCTAAAATGGAAGTGTTACCTTTGTGCCAAAAATGGATTAACCACTTGGACAATGGCTCAAATTCTTGGACAATGGCTCAATCAGTTGTGTAAACAATTAATTATGAAGTGATTTGTAAGTTAGTAACCTGCAAAGCAAGATTTATGCAGCATGGCTTGAGATTTGATCAAGTGTTCTTCATGAAAATGCCTTGTAATTTAAGAATGGATGTCCAACTTCTTATCTTCGGAACGTCTAGCTAAAGCATGATCTCTTCAAGTTATTGTAAATTTTGGAAAGCTTGAAAAATTTTCTACAACCTTCATGTTGACCACTTTGGCTAAATCACCTTGGAACTTGGTGTAAAATTGCCAAGAAGTTGGGACAAAAAATATGCCTAACTAGTTGAAAATTTCAATAAGTGTTTTGTTAAAAATGGCATGACTTCATGGGCCAATATCTTCAAATCTAAGAATTTTTTGGACACCGACCCTAAGGGACTAAGTTATATAATTCATCAAGATCTACAACTTTCATTTTGAAAGTTTTCCTTGAAGCATCTTGCATCTTGGTGAAAAATTGTCATGAAGTAGTGAAATTATCAAGGTTAAAAAACACTTAGAATTTTTCTAAGTATTGAAAACTTTGAATTTTTGTGGACTTTGTTGATCTTTTATGATCAAGTTTGATATTTTTGAAGATCTTGATGAATCTTGACCTTTGAAATTTAATGTTGATCAAAAAGTCAAAGTTTGACTTTTTGTGTATCAATTGACTTTTCATCAGTTGATCAAATTTAAACTATCAATCCATTGATCTTGAGAGATGATTTGAGGCATTAAATTATGTCAAGATATTATGTTTGAATCCTTAAGACCATTATTCAAGCCATTAGATCTTGTACTAGGTAAAAAGTCAATGATCAGTCATTCTCCGTCAAAACCCTAATTTTGACAATTTTGCCCGTTTGATGATTTGAGTGTTTTTCTTGAGGAATTGTGATCAACCCTTGATCAATTGATGAATATTACTTAAAAATGTTGATATTGGCCAAAAATCATCAATTTTGACTGTATGTTGACCGTAGTTGACTTTTTGCCCAATATAGTTGATTTTCAGTCATCTGAGCAATTGACTGAGCAAATTTGTGGTGCCAGACTTGAAACTTGGTATGAGTAATCTTGGATACCTATGATGAACCATGAAAGTCATTTGAAGCATCAAAAGTCCAATTGTCTTTGAGAAAACCAAAACTTTAATTTGTGGGCTCAATGCTTAAGAGGTGAGCTTGCATGATCAACCCTTGAGAATTCCTTGAGTATTTGATATCTCTTGGTGAGAGATGTCTTGAGAAAAGAGAGGGAAAATTTTGGGGTACAACACATCCGAAAGGAACAAGTACATCCTAAGGAACGTGGTATAGAAATCAAATGAACAAACTAGCATTAAAAGAGCACACACGTGAAATGGTAAAAAAAGAAGTGAAATGGTTTAGTCAAGGGGGTGTATCACCCGAGACAAACAAGCGGGATGAAAATAAAAGAAGAGAAATGCTTTAGCTAAGGGGAGTGAATCACCTAAAGCAAACAAGTGGTAATAGGATGTAAAACAAAAATGTGATGTCCAAAGCGACTGAATACCTAACCAAGATATAAAAGATTGAGGTAGGCGTAAGAAGACAATATGAACGATCACGGAGTGTCGGCATCGGCCAATGCGAACTCCTAACAAAGTGTAGGGGTTTGATTTCAAAACCCTTTTCCACTTGACGACTCGATAATGAGAGTAGCATAACTCTGAAGCATCGCGGTGCGTCACGAGCTAAAGATGACATAGACGAAATGTGGGGGTTGATTGTGAACCCTTTCCGCTCGCCTCCTTTTCAGGACTTCAATAAGGGATATGGGAATAAATGCAAGCACAAATGTAAACACACGTGCGAAATACCTACTTCAAAGGTAGGGTTTTAAACAAATACATATAGCATACAAAAAGCACACAATGCGGAATTGCCCTAAACAGGTCTTTAAATAAACCAGCGGGATTCCTGACATGATCAGCAACGGAGATCCCCTTCATACATCTCCACCCTACTTCTCATGGAATTATAAATCAGTAAAGCCCTACTTCTCATGGTCTCTAGAAAAGCCGTAAAGAAATGCGATAAGGCGCAGAGAAATACAAAGCAATAGCGGCGACTACCAAAAGCAAGCGAATCGTCGAAAGTAGACGAAAGAAATGGAGAAGAATGGAGTACGCGTCGAGCAAGCTTTACCAAGAAACAAACAAATTTAAAAATGATATCCAACTAAGATAAAAGAAAATGTGTGTTTCGAATACAACGCGTAATCAGAAGTTCCTGCACAAAGCATCATAAAACATCACATGCATCAGGACAGCATATAATATGATATGAACTTCTCAGGACGATGAGACATAAGGCGTGTCGCGTCAGAAGCGAGCATAAGCCATATGCTTCGATCACATAACAAGTTGTTATGTTACATGATCGAAAGCACCAAAATGTACCTTGCACAATGAACAAATGCGTCAAAAATAACGAGGCACAACAGTATGAAAATATGAATAAAACTAAAAGAAAAAGTATTTTTTATTAGTTTTTCATGTGAGGAAAATTCTATCAAAACTACGGAATTTCTAGAAAAATTCTATTATATTCCACTATTCTTTATTGTTTTTTTTCATGAATATAAAACCTACCAAAAACTATAGAATTAGTTCCTAATCACTAAAAAACTAACAAGTCTTATTGATTTTGTAATTTTTTATCAATAATCTATAACAAAAATATAAAGAAAATGTAATGGAAATCTAATAAAAAAGATTAAACTCAAGGAGGTGTAACATGAAGTCAGGAGATAATGCAGTATGGGCGCTAGGCCCGCTTGATCGAGTCCAATAGCACTTTTTGTAAAGGGAATCAGTTTATGCCAAAAAAACTTATGCGTCCAAGGGAAGTGTGGTTCGGTCCGGCCCAATAGCTTATCACCAACAACACCATATTCACATCAGCCTCACTATTCTTTTTCAGCATATTACTATTATTATTATTTAACAAACAAATGAAAATTAATAATAAAAAATAAAAGAGAGGTGTAAACTATGTGCTTTGTGTTTGTTTAGGGTTACCAGATGTGAAAAATTGCACGTGAAATTCCTCTTATCCTCTTCAATCCGAAACGTGCCCGGGGCATGCGTCACAGTGCCACTGATGGTGTCAACATCCTCTCCGAGTCAAACTTCCTCCGCTCATTTCCTCTCTTTACTTTGACCGGTCCTTCTCGTTCTCAAACCTCACCGATCTGGATCTCAGGTAATGTTTTTCGTTTCTTTCTCCTGCTTCCTCGACTTCTTTCTCTTATACTTCTTTTCTCATTTCTGTATGTTGTTGTTATGGTGGTGCGAGGAAGCATTGTGCATTGAAGTTGTTTTTGATTTAGTGCAATTAAGATGCTGCAAATTCGTCGAAGTTTGCCAACCAGAAGCATTTGTTGGTGTAATGATGTGTGAGCAAATTGTTGTTGCGTTGAAGAAGGTTGAAGAATCGGTGAAGATGATTGTAATTCAGTGATGAAGATTGAAGAAGATGGAGGTTATGGTGATGAGTTATGCGAGAGAATTTGAAGCAGGGATACGGTTTCAGAATTTGCAGAGACTTGTGAAGGTTTTGTTATGGAGAGAAAGCAGAGAGAAGATGGAGATGGAGGTTTCGGAGAGAGAGCATGGAATTTTGGTGGTGATTGTTATGTGAGGAAGAAAAATGGTGGAGAGAGCCTTGAATGAGGGTACCGATTAGCTTATGTAGGTGATTAAGAGTGATGATAGTTAGAGATGAATGATTCCTAGACAATGGATCTGAGATGAGTTTGTTGCAAATTAAGGGTGAGATGAGGATTAGAGAGAATTAGTTATAGGAGTTTGTTGAGCTGAGAATTCATGTTAAATTCGGTTAGAAGCTGTTAACAATTCTGTTTTGACAGTTGGTTATCCCTGTTTAGAAAAAATTGTTAGAGGTTAATTAGATGGAAATTGTTATAGGTAGTTAAGAGCAGTTAGTTTGAGATTTTTTGGGTTTGTTAGATGAGGTTATGGAATTCTGTTATAGAAGTTTCAGTTAGGACTGTTAGATTAAAATTGTGAGGGCTAGTTAATTGACACAGTTTTGGTGAGCTGACGAATGGTTATGAGGTTAGGATAGGTATAGTTAAAATGGAAAGGAACTAAGAGTTAGTTGGATTGCTTGTTGGAGTTGACCTTTTGAGTGTATGAAGTTGTGTGCATTGTGTGCTGAATTTTCTATGCAATGATTTTTTTGAACTGATGTTATCATTCCCTGTTTTTATTTTCTCTGATTTCCGGTTAATAAAATTTGGCACAGTTTATTTGGTTGCAAGAATCAAAATGCAGGGTTGTATTGGTTTTGAACATGGCTTGAAGTCGCAAAGCGCGGATTTGAACCGGTTTATGTCGCGGGGCTGGTTTTTTGCCCATAACTGATGCAGGGCCAGTTTAGTTTTGTTTGGAACTGGTTTTGGTTTTATTTGCAGGGCTACAACAGCCAGATTTTTGATGGAGAAATAGTTTTGAAGCATGGTTAGTTCAATGGTGAAGCAAGGTTTAGTGAAGATCATGGCATGAAGATGGAAGATGAACGACATAGGTTTAGGATATTATTTTTGTGAAATTTGTAATCCTTTTTGTTGATGTAATTTAATAGTGTCAAAGAATGTAATAGTTATCGAACTTGTATTTATGTGATTTTGTAATGTTTGGAACTTGAATGAATGGAAGTTCGAACGAATTGTAACTTGAAAATTAGATGATGTGATTCTTTTGTAACCATAAACTTTCAAATTGATTTTGAACCTCCAAGTTCTTTTCCTCCAATATTTCCTTTAAATGCCTTTGTATGAATTCAAACAATCATGATATGAATCCAAAATATTTGCAAGGTTATCAAAAGAGACGTGAATCTTAAATGAATCCTTGAAAGACTATTTGGATGATACTTTGATAGTTAGATGAATTCGACGCATGCTTTTTTATACTTGTGATTTGAATTCCAAGAAATGCGACACAAATATTAAAGAACTTTGATTTGCTTCAAATCTTAATGAACGAATTCCAATCAAACTACAGCTTCAATGAATCCCTAATTCAATTCAATTCCCTGATCTAAACAAAATTTGTGTGTCAAGCAATAAGCAATTTGAAAGAATGACGCCTTGATTACAATTCACGTCTTGTACCATATCTCGACTATATGAGCAATAGAATAACAATGCCTTGGATCCTTGAAGAAGATATTCCAGATGAATTTGAACTTAGACCCTAGCTCATATAGTTTTTACTTAAACCTTTAGTGAAACCCTAATGATCCTGCCCTTTATGAAGATGACAACCTTGTAGCTTGATGGGGGAGAAGTTCACAATAATCAAGAATCCAAACCCTAGTTCCACAAACCACGGTTACTGGGAAACCAATTGATTCAAGCCTGAGTTAAGATGAGAACCATCAAAGCCATAGAGAAAACCCTAACTTCAAGATCCTTGTTCCCACACCAAGTTTATTGATTAATGATGCAGGACGTGCAAAATTACCTAATGGAAGGTGTGCAGATGAAATGAGAAGAACAAAATGCCTAGCCAGATAAAAGTGAAAGGGTAGGACAAATTTGGGATATTACACACTCTAGTAGGGCCGAATGTTCAAAAAAATCATATGCCACCACATGGTGGGGCAGCTGCAAATTCCATCTTAGTTGAAGAAGAACCAATTTTGATGAGTAGTGTTGATGAAATCAAGATACCATTTGCCAATGTCAGAAGATTTCTACTACAACAAGGGGTTTTGCAAGACCTTCATGATTTTTGTCTATAGTGCTCTTATAATCCAGAAGAATGTGGAGAACTGAAAAAAGCTATCCAACAATTAATGGATGAGGGTGTACTCCAGGTTGAGAAAGTGCCTTCCAAAGATGATGTTGCTGTATTAGAGATACCGTACTATCCAATTCCAGGAGTTCAGAGTGCTACATTGATAATCCAAATCCCTGCCACTACTACAACTACACTAGTTAAGACTTGATCTACTCCTCTATTAATTCAAGCTCTTATCGACCCCTCTCCTGCCCAAGTCTTAGCTCCTCCCGCTCAAGTTTCATTTGTTCCTATAACATTCCAGACTTTGCCTTTTTCAGCTCTTGTTACTACGCCTTCTGTTGATTCGAGAGTTGTGCTTTATGATTACAATGTTATGTACATCCAAGGACAGAAGGTAGATTATCCTCCAGTAGGTGATAGGAAAATTTCCAAAATTGCGGGAACCAGTGGAATTATCCATAGTGGCAGAGTTTTCGCCCCTACTCTTGCATGTCCTCCAAAAGAAACTGGTAATAATGCTTTGGTTCAAGATAAGGGAAAGCAGGTGATGGGTACCCCTGAAGTAACCTTTGAACAAGAGACAATAACTTTTGAGGTTGATAAAGAGAAGTGACTTCGAAATAGTGGAGCAACTTAATCAAACTCCTGCCAAGATCTCTATCTTGACCCTCATGTTATATTCTGAAGCACACCGCAACGCTCTTTTAAAGATTCTAAGCAAGGCTCATGTGATTCCCGACATTATTGTTGCTTAATTTGAAGGGATTGTGACCAATATCTTCGCAAGCAATTGTTTAGGTTTTTGTCATGATGAACTGAAGAATGGAAAAACACAAGAAGGGGCGTTTCAATTGGGGTTTTTAAAACTTAAATCAAAAGACACGTTGGTTATCTTGGTTCGTTTGAACTCAAAATACTCCAGTTCACCAGCCAAGGTGATTTTGCCTCTCTCAATGAGGTCTTAATCCACTAATCAAACTTGATTACACAGGAACAATAACAAATGCCAAAGTCTTCCTGAGTTTAAACCACAACCCAGTTTTCTCAAGGTATTTCACAGTACTATATTTGAAAGCGTGTACAAGATATGCTTTCTAACAAAAAACAGTATCAAAAAGTGATGTATTACATAAATGAAAACCAATGGATTCAAGGTAGTGATTTTTCTCGTTTGTAGTGCGCAACAAAATCGTAAACGATTTCTCCTTCAAGTCTTGTTTATATAGGCAATGCATGAGAGGTCCTTTTGGAATGTTGATAAATAATAGTTAATGAAATTTCCAAACAGAGAGATTCTTGTCCTCTTTCAGCCGTTACTTTTGAATAGCAATGAATGAAATGTAACGCTCCAGAACATGCTTACTAATTATTACATCAGAATATGAATATTACCGTTGGGACTCCTTTACTTATTTCCAGAACTGTACGAAACAGAATAACAGAGTTCTTGTTTGCAGCGTTTAGTGAACTCAGAAGTTGTAGCTTTAGAACTTATTTATATAAGCGTGTTATGCAGATTTTCTTTCTATGTAAGATGTGTTGAATCAGAGTTTAAACAACAAACTAACTCATCTTCTATGCTTCTTACATTAGAACTTCCCCGCAAAACAAAATACTTATTTATGGAGCATAATTGTTCTTTAAGATTTTGTTATCATCAAAACTCTTACAAGGGTTATAGAATCAAACTATGTTCTAACAATCTCCCCCTTTTTGATGATGATAAAAACTTGGATATTTTGATCAAATACGTAAAGAACATAAAGCATTAAAGTCTCCTTCTGAGTTGGATACTCACATAGAGAAGAAATACTTCCCTGAAGATTGTTCTAATTAGAGTCTTTGAGAAGAATATTTTTGATGCGTCCACAACTGCCCTCAACAGAGGTTGTTCCTATTTTGCTTTCAGATGAAAAATAATAGAAGTTATGATGTTCAAAATGTTTGAGACTGAGTCTCAATACTGTTATATTCGAAATATATTGCGTTCTCCCCCTTTTTATCAAGAATCAAAAAGCAATAAAAACACTTTAGACAATAAAAGGAATTTTGTGTTCAAAAAGATTCAAGGAAACAAATAAAAAACACAATGAAGAAAACAAATTTCAGAACTAAGTTTGAGGAGGTGGAAGTTGTGTGAACAGGGCTTCCAATAAACTCTTAATCTGATTGTTTGATTTCTCTTGTTTTCCAAGCATCCCCTTAATTTCATTGTAGGTTTCTTCCTTCTTGTTTAGCCTTTCCTTAAACACAACATTTTCTTTCTTCAGCTCCTCCAAAGTTTGCAGCACAATAGAAGAAGAGGATATTTCAGTAGAAGGGGCCACTTTTTCAGAGCAAACTGCAGCAGCTTCTGACTCAGGAGCTTCTACAACTTTCTTGCCTTTGTATTAAAACATGACCAGAGGAAGAGGATCAGAGGATGGTTCATTACATTCTGGTGGTTGATGATCTTCCTAAGGGGTATTGTCCAGCAGAAGGAGTGGCTTCTTTTCCCAGTGTCGCAGAACTTGATCCTTGAAGATATTCAGGCGGTCGCAGAAGTTATGTTGAGCGATTTCATAACTAAGCTCCTTTAATTTTAAAGATTCAGAGTTAAACCATTTTCTGAACTGGTTCCAATGAGAATCAGAAGCAGCTGGGTTGAGATTCTCTATGCAAGCTAGCTTCAGATAGTTAACTCATTCCTATATTTCTGTTTCAAAAATCAGCAAAGATTTACCAACATCTACTTTGGATATTTTTGGTTTTGGTTTTGGAACGACAATTTTATGAGAGCTTGTGACGAGATTGTCCAAAGCTTCTAAGTCTATAACAGTTCTAAGAGGATCTTCTGGGTAGTTATTTGGAGAGGGAGAGTCAGAAAGGATAATGGGCGAATTTGGTGAGTTGGGTGGAGTGGACTAATAAGGATATGGAAGTACTGGAATGAAGAGGTTTTGTGAAGATGTTGAGGGAATTGTAGGTGGTTGAGAGACCATGAGAGGGCAGGTGATTTTAGGGATGGATGTTGTGGTATCAGAGTCAAGATTTGGATTTTCGATTTGGGGAGCTTCAAACAGTGGATCAAATTTATCAATATCAGAGAGAACTTGTGCAAGTTCAGGCTGATTTTGGTCAAGATGAGTAGAAGGTGGATTGTTCAGAAGGTTATCTAGAGGAAATGAGGTGTCAAAATCTATGTCAAAATCATCAAAGGTTTGAGGATGAGGATCTTCTGTTGGCTTTGGAGATGAAGGGTTTTCAGATGTTGATAGCAGTACCGATTCAATAACAGAAACAAAAGAAGGGTTACCTTTCTTTTTGGCAGCCTTCGGAGTCTTCTGAGAATTTCCTTCTGCAGTTGCTTTCCTTTTCCTTGATTTTTTGGGAGCAACTTCCAGAGGTTTTTGTCTCAGATCATGGATGTTCACATCTGGATTTGTCTCGTCCCTCTTGCAAGCACCCAGATACATGAGAACAATATCTGGAGAAGAGTCTACTTGAGTGAAGAGAGGAAAATCCTTCAGAGGTACTCTTCTAGTGTAATGACTTCCTTGGTAGTGATTGTTGGATCCTTCTTAATAGTTTGAATAATCTTTGTGATACGGTGGGAGAACTGACTTGAGGTTTTGCGTTTGTTTTCGCAAATGTTTCTGTTGAGCAAGAGTCGCCACCGACTTTTTATTTTATCCTAAGGAAAGGTTAAAAATCACAGCAAAAACCTTTTGAGATGTTTTCTTGGGTTCGGGGAGTAGATTATAGAAAGGGAAGGTATTAGCACCCTTTCTATCCA